CAGACCAGTATTTGCAGTTTGACTCCCATCACCCTTTGGAGCACAAGTTAGGAGTCATCAGGACTCTGTACCACAGAGCAGACAGCATCCCCACTAGCTCAGGAGCCAGGCAGAAGGAGAAATCCCACACAAGACAGGCTCTAGAGCAATGTGGATATCCTAACTGGGCCTTCCTGAAAGCAGAGAAGAAACCCAAACAGGACTCCAGTCAGCCAACAGGTGAAAAGGAGGAACCCAGACCAGTGGTCATTCCATATGTTGAGGGAGTATCAGAGAAACTGAGACGTTTATTTTCTAAACATAACGTCCCAGTGGCTTTTAAACCCCAAAATACATTATGGCAAAGACTGGTTCATCCCAAAGATCCAGTCCCCCAGCACAAACAGAGTAATGTTGTGTATGCTGTTCAGTGTCAGGAGGGCTGTGATCAGTCTTACATCAGGGAAACTAAACAGCCACTGGCCAAAAGGATGGCCCAGCACAGAAGAGCAACATCATCAGGCCAGGACTCTGCGGTCTACACTCATCTCCAGGCCAGCGGTCACTCTTTCAGGGATGAAGATGTTCACATCCTGGACAGAGAGGAACGATGGTTTGAGAGAGGAATAAAGGAGGCCATCTTTGTGAAAAGAAATCGTCCATCATTAAACAGGGGTGGAGGCCTCCGGGTTCAACTGTCCCCCTCTTACAATGCTGTGATTGCTAGTATCACTCAGCCCTCTGTGAACAGTAAACAGCCATCAGTGTGCTAATGATCCATTGTTAGGCTGATGGTCCTTCTTGAGCATGTGATCAGCTGGTTTTGGTTGTCAGCAGCAAAACTGGTTGATCCACTCTGAGAAGGTGCTATTTAAGAGACTGAGCTGAATACAGCTCCTCAGACTGAGGAAGTCTCTCGGATGAGAGACGAAACGTTTCTACATTTTTTTATTGATTTGCTTTGTTTTGTTTTGTTTGAATGTCCAGAGGACCAGATTTAACTTTTTTAGATACTTGTACTACAATTTTTACTTTGCGGTTTTTCATTTATCGCGGGTCTTCAGGGTACGGATCACCCGCAGTAAACGAGGGACTCCTGTATTATTATTTATTTACAAAATACTCAGCTTTTCTCACTGCCGTGCATTCTTCAGGGCTTCTCAGAGCTGAAACAAAACACTTTGTCCCACTTCAGTGGGTTACAGCATCTTTAAATGAATGTAATTCAAAAATGAGTAAATATATTAAAACAGCTTTTACTTTTAGTCTATCGTGTTTGTCTAGTTTATTTGTTACAGTCATGATGTATATAATGTTCAAGTACTTTTAGCGACAAATTACAATTTTCAGCACACAACCCTCAAAATGTGAATGTTCACGTGTGAAAATGTAATTGCTGTGATAAAACTCCTAGAAGTTGACACAGAAAGGCTGTTTTTGTTTTTAAATAACTTTGTTGTATTTGTTTTAGAAATTATAGCACCGGTAATCCTTTCAAAATAACAAAAAATTAGTGTGCTCCCGTGGCGGTGCCCACTCTGCTAGCAGGAGATTGGTCAAGTCGGACGTGTTTGTATGCTGATGATGTTAGTCTGAACACATTAACATTTAATACAATGTTACATCTTAAACACAAAAGTCCTGGGAGGTCAGGAAACTGTGCAGGAGGAGGGGCTGATGATGTATGGGCTTTGGTGTCTCCCCCACCGCACACAATTCAACTTCAACTTCAAAAATACTTTATTAATCCCAAAGGGAAATTATTTGTTGCTGTAACTCGTTATCCTCATTTCATTAAGAGATGTTATAGATGCTGATGGCTGTAGGCAGGAAGGATCTCTTGTAAAGGTCCATCCCACAGTGGATCCTAAGAAACTGGCTGCAGACGCCGTCTGATCCATCCACCCAGACTCGGCTGGCCTCTCGGTTCCTCCGGGCTGTAGGACCGCCCGAATGCCGGGCAGAACTCCTCCCAGCAGTCTACCGAGCTCCTCGTCGCTGCGGACAGCCAACTGTTGGTGCCGAGGGACGATCCTGTCCTTCCACTGTCATGAGCCGTGTTTCCTGCTAGTTGGTCCCGTGTGATAATGTAGACATTTATTAATTGCTTACATATGACCTTTATGGTGGGTTGGGCAGTTCTGTTGGCAGGGCAGGCCACCCTCCTTGGATAATGGTAGGGGAAATGCTGCAAATATGTTCTTACAGAAATTATAACTTGTCTTACTTTAAAAAATTATTTTTGTGTACAGTATTCCCTCGTTTATCGCGGGGGATCTGTACCCTGAAGCCCCGTGATAAATGGTAAATGGTAAATGGACTGTACTTGTATAGCGCCTTTCTATCTTATTTCAAGATACTCAAAGTGCTTTCCACTACAATCTGTGTCCTCATTTACCCATTCATACAGCACTCTACTAGATCTCTACAAAGTTAATTAAACAAATCATTCTAATGAGACTAATCAGTACTTTTAGATCACATTCATACACTGATGGGACACACATCAGAGGCTATGGGGGGTTCAGTGTCTTGCCCAGGGACACTTCAGCATGTGACTGCTGGTGGATTCGAACCCCCAACTCTTGCATTGGAGGACGACTGCTCTAACCACTCAGCCACAGCCGCCCCGAGAGAAAGAGAAAAGCAATATTCTAAACAATGTTTCTAAACTCAAAACGCTGTAAAAGATTACAGAATGTCATGATTACACCTCTCTGCTTCCGGCTGCTCTGCCTATGGCTGCTCTCTGCCTTTGGCTGCTCTCTGCCAGTTCTCTCGGCCATTCCCACTTCTCCACTGCAGAGCGGAGATCCTGGCATGCTGCAGGAGGAAGCTTCTCCTGTGGTGCGGGCTGTACACAGATGCAGCAGGTCCTAAATCATTTAAAATAATTTATTTTAAATAAAAAAATCTATGCCGATCGTGCGGCTCATCCATCAATCAGCCAATTATGTGTCATGTCCAATTTTACTTTGAAAAACCGCAATTGAGCAAGTCCGCGGAAAACGAACTGTAAAGTAAAGTGGGACTACTGTAATAGAAATGTAAAAATTAATCAGACTGCTTAAGAAACAGGTCATTTTATCATTGTAAAGTTTAATGTGATAAAATGTTTGTTCTCAGACAACCTGAGTGAAGCTCTGGAGAAGCTGAAGCTGACATCATCGGACAGCGCCAGCACTGAGACCTGTCTGGACTGCTTGCTCAAGGCACTCGCCAACAACAGTGAGTAAAAACGTATAGACTGTTTGGGAGGTGTACTGAAATTTGCTTTCCTCACAAACGTCCCACCAGGACTCAGTACCAGAATCCTTGGTCCAGAATTATTGTATTATTTCTGTTAACTGAATTATGTTCTGACTGGTGTCATCTCTGGTCTGTGAACAAACACCCTGAGGCTCTTTACGTGGTAGCCGGAGACTTTAATCACGTGAATGTAAAGGACTGTCTCCCAAGCTTTACCAGCATGTGGGCATACCAACACGTGGAAACAACACGCTAGACCATGTTTACACGAATGTAAAAGATGCATACAAAGCCGAACCCCGCCCCCACCTAGGACTGTCAGACCACATCTCAATCTTAATGATACCTGCTTACCTCCCCCCACTGAGACGCTCCAGACTGGTACAAAAGAAAGTTAAATGTTGGATCCAGGACAGTGGCCCCATACTGAGAGATTGTTTTGAACGAACAGACTGGCAGGTTTTCAGAGAAGCTGCTGAAAATGGAAGATCGCTTGATCTGGACCAATACGCATCCTCAGTTCTGGGTTACATTAGTATGTGTACTGACACCGTCTCTACCATCAGATATGTTAAAAGCTACCCAAACAGAAAACCTTGACTGGATGCGGAGTTGCGCACCCTGCTGGAATCCAGGAACACTGCCTTCAGGTCTGGAAACAGAGGAGTTGAGTAGGACAAGGAAAGAGCTGTTTGCTGGTATTAAGAAGGCCAAGGCCACATATGCACAGAGGATTGAGAGTCAATTCACCTCACAAGACCCTCTGAGCATGTGGAGGGGCATTAAGTGCATAACAAATTATAAAGGAAGGAGCAAACAATGCCCCAAAGACCCATCTCTGCCTGATGCCCTCAACAAGTTCTTTGCACGCTTTAAAGACCCGAACAGACCACCCAGCACCAGACTTGCCTGACCACCGGATAAAGAGCATCTCAGCGTGACCTCAGCAGATGTAAGTAATCCTCACAAAGCAACCGGTCCAGACAACAACCCCGGAAAAGTGTTGAAAGAATGTGCCGATTAGCTCTGCGAGGTGCTGGCAGACATCTTTAACACCTCACTTACTCTAGAGACATTTCCCACCTGCCTGAAGACTGCCACCATCATCCCAGTCCCAAAAAGCTCTACAGTGACTGGTCTGAATGACTATCGGCCAGTGGCGCTCACCCCGATAGTCGCTAAATGCTTCGAAAAACTGTTCATGACTCGCATCAAAACAACCATGAACATCAACGAGGACCCTCATCAGTATGCATACCGTGAGAACCGATCAACAGAGGACGCCATCTCTTCTGTGGTCCACACTGCTCTCTCCCACCTGGAGCAGAATGACTCCTATGTCCGTATGCTCTTTATGGACTTCACATCCGCCTTCAACACCATGATCCTCCAAACCCTGATGAACAAACTATTCACACTAGGACTAAGCCCCTCCATTTGCAACTGGGTACTAGACTTCTTAACAAACAGACCACAGTTAGCGAGGATCCACAACTTCTCCTCCTCCACCATAACCCTCAGCACTGGCTCTCCTCAGGGATGTGTGTTGAGCCCCCTCCTGTTTACTCTGCTCACGTATGATTGTGCAGCTACTCATCCAGGCTGTCATATTGTAAAGTTTGCAGATGATACAGCGGTGGTGGGATGCATCACAAACGATGATGAGTCCAGCTACAGGCAAGAGGTGGAACACCTGGAGAGCTGGTGCAAAGAGAATAACCTTCACATCAATGTGAAGAAGACAAAGGAGATGATCGTGGACTTCAGAAGGAACAAAAACATCTACACCCCCCTGAACATAAGAGGATCTGCGGTGGAAGTGGTCTCCAGCTTTAAGTACTTGGGTGTACACATGAATGACAACCTCAGCTGGAGCAACACCACCACCAGCCTGATCAAGAAAGCTCATCAGAGACTCTACTTCCTCAGACGGCTGAGACGAGCTGGTCTGGGAAGCTCAGTCCTCACCTCCTTCTACAGGTGTACAGTGGAGAGCATCCTGTGCTCCAGAATCAACATGTGGCATGGAGGCTGCACAGCTGCAGAAAGAAAAGCTCTGCAGAGAGTGGTGAAGGCTGCACAGAAGTCTGTTGGAGTCAGTCTCTCCACCATCACAGACATTTATACCTCTAGATGCAGGAAGAGGGCCACCTGCATCATGAAGGACCCCACTCACCCAGCACACACACTTTTTGCCCCACTCCCCTCAGGAAGGAGGTTGAGGAGCATTAAGTGTAGAACCACTAGACTGAGGAACAGCTTCTACCCTGAGGCTGTTAGGCTCATGAATCTCTAACTAGAATAATCACTGTGAAAAATCACATCATGTTGCTGCTGATCTGTTTCATGTTGCTGCTGATCTGTTTCATGTTGCTGCTGATCTGTTTCATGTTTCTGCTGATCGGTTTCATGTTGATGTGTTCATGCGTGCTCATCTGTTCACACAGACCCATGCTCATGTTCGTGCTACTGTTCGACGTAATGTTTTATGCTATCAGTGCTTAGCATATTTTTAGTTGATGTTTTTCTTAGTTCATATCTTAGATGTTGTTACTGTTTTTCTTTTACATTTTATTGTTGGATTTAACTGGGACCCTGTGAACATAATTTCACTCCACCACATGTACCACATGTGGTGTAAATGACAAATAAAGAAACTCTGACTCCGATTGTTTGTATTGTGTCTTGTCACACAACTATCACTACGTCTTTTTCATCTGTTCCCTCCATGAGTCTCCATAATGAGTCCTCCTCCTCCATCTCACTCTGTCCTCACTCCAACTACCTCCATGTCCTCTCTAACTGCATCCATATATCTCCTCTTTGTCTTTTTTCTGGCAGCTGCATTCTAACATCCTTCTACCAATATACCCACTGTCCCTCCTCTGGACATGTCCAAACCACTGTCCCTCCTTTGGACTTGTCCAAACCATCTCAGTCTGGTCTCTCTAACTTTATCTCCCAGTAGTTCAACCTGTGCTGTACCTCTGATGATCTCATTCCTAATCTTCTCCATCCTTGTCTCTCCTAAGGAGAACCTCAACATCTTCATTTCTGCCACTTCCAGTTCTGTCTCCTGTCTTTTTGTCTCAAATCACTCCTGAAACGTTTCGCCATCCTTTACCACACTCTCCATTTTCCTGGACAGTGGACCCTAAGTACTTGGAAGTCTTGACCTTTGTGACCTCTGCTCCTTGTCGCCTCACTGTTCAACCTCCTCCCTGTCATTCATACACCAGCCTGTCGTGTCCTGTAACTTTAAACAACCTTTTGCATTAAAAATGTCACTTGCCTTTAAGAAACAGCAACAACACTAACCTGATCAGAGAACATGTAGACATGGTGTAGGGTTGAAAATGTTATACATTCTCCCGTGCGATTCTTGGCACCCATAAAAATCACTTTAGACTTGAGTCCTCAGTTTTATCCCCTCAGGTTAATAAAAATTAGAGGCTGACTGGTATCAGTTTTCTACTGCCAGTCTGGATCTTTAGAAATTAGGACAACTGATGACCAGTATACAACACATTTTATCTTATTTTTGGACATTATGCATTTTTCATTAGCTTACCTTAAATATATAATGAACAACCCTTAGAGGCACTTTTACATTTAAAATTGACATGTGACCCAAGCAAAATGAGCTAAAATAAGACATTTTCCAAATTGAGTTATTTTCAAATTCTTCATCTCAGATGCTTCAAAATATAGTCTCTTGAAATTTGGCAATTTATTATCTGGTCTGCTAGCATCTAGTTCTGATTACAAAAGAGGTGAAAAAAATCAGCCCCGCATTAATTTTTGTCAATAATTTAGTTAAATTATTTTGGTGCAGTCAGTAGTCATGATTTTTTCTGACTAAGCCTAAAAATCATTCTACATTTTGAATTTTGTCAGATTTTTTTCAAACACTCTCATAGCCTCACAATAACTTTACTACACTCGTGTTCCTGAGGGGAAAAATCACCCACACCAGAATACACTGAAAATATGACTTTAATCCCATATTTATCAAATTATAAAATAAAACATTCCTCTCAGCAATGTTTTTCTCTTTTACTTCCATCTCTATACTTTAGAGTTTTATTTTAGCTCACTAGATGGTGTTCTGCTTTTATATTTGAGAACTTCTGTAAAAATCACTGGCGGGTGGATCGCTTCAACTCAGCCCAGAAGCAGAACCTTCTCCCTGTCAGATGTTGCTGCAGAGTCTCGCCTCTCATCTCAGACAAAATTGTTTGTTTGGATGTAAAGAACAACAGAAGTAAACATTTAGTCTGAAAAATCTGTTTCACGTGCATGCAGCATCAGACGCTCCACGGCTGACTGCCGGTGGTTTCCCCAAAGCAGGATGTCAGTAGCAGGCACACTGTGCTCCTGCAGCTCGCTAGTATATTTGGGCCAGTACAAAATAATAAAAAAAAAAAAAGTAAATTAAATTAAAAAAATTGGAGTTGTCCATGGGTCAAGTAAGAAAAATAAAATAAAATAATAATAATTTTATTATAATAAACCTCCATGTCCAATTGCCAAGAGATAGGAGTAAATTTGAAACAAGGCCTCATTTTCAGCTACAGAATCTAAAGGGTTTTCACGAAACTCTGGACAATAAATAAAAAAAAAGTTGGTATTTTGGACGTCTGGGGTGGGGGGGTGGTGTATTTTCAATTCGCCCTTTTAGCTCTGCGACAGTACAGAAACAGACCGAATTGTGGAATTGGTCTCCATCCATCCATCCTCCCTCCCTCCCTCTCTGTCTCTCTCACTCGCTCTCTCGCTTATTCTGAAGTCGGGTCATGGGGGCAGCAGCTTGAGCAGGGAGGCCCAGACATCTCTTTCCACAGCCACCTCTTCCACTTTAAGAGGATTCCAAGGCGTTCCCAGGTCTACCATGTCCAGGGTTTTCTCTGGGGTATAGACTCTCAGTCTGACACCCAAAGCACCTCCCTGGGGAGTGATGAACTAGAAATGTAAATATCCTCCGTCTGTCCAAGAAATGTCATCAAAAATTGTATTTCAAGATGTGTGTGTGTATATCCATCCATCATCCATTATCTTTATCCACTTCTTTGTTTATATATAAAGTTGGTAGTAATTTTATTTTACCTGGAGTGTTGTTCAGGGACATTATATGTATGTAGAATATTTAGATTCCATTGTAATAATGTAATTAGTTTTGTCCTCTTTTATTTTTTTCCAGACACTGAGACCAGTATGAAGATCCAGGAGATGGGCATCCTTCCACTGCTGCCCGCCCTGCTGAACCCACAATCTTCCTGCACCCCCAAAGTAGCCAACATCATAGCTGAGGTGGCCAAAAATGGTGAGTTAGATTCTCTGGTCCTTCCACTCAGGAACACACTGAAAGGCATGGGTCTAAGATCAGGTTCTTGTCTGTGACTGTGTTCAGGTCTTTCTGTTAACAAGCTACCTTATGTGCGACTGGCTGAATTTTAATGAAACGATTAATGTTGAATATTAACCTAAAATTGGTTAAATTTGAATTAATTCCAATTTAAAATGGCTGCAGAACTAATAGACATTAGCAACAAAAATAGCTATAACTCTGTCTCAGTTGGCAGTTTGACAAAAACAGCTACAACTGTTTTGTTTCTCAACATAAGATGGTTTTAGTTTTAGTGGTGGGTGATAAGCATTCCTACTGCTAGCCTTTAAACATGTTCTTAATAGGTTTTTAATTTGTTTTTGTTACTGCGTTCTCAAAATCCTGAGTAGAAATGAAAAGATTTTCCTGTCAAAGTGCGAAGAGTGGAATTTGGAAATGCATGTCCATCCATCCCGTCGTCTGTCTGTTAATGTTGTGAGCATGATAACTTGAAAACTAAGTGAGGTACTGACGTCCATTTTAGTGTGCGGCTGCATCTAGATGTAAGAAAGGTTCCTGTTGAAAAATAGGGTTGCCACGTGAAAATTCAAGATGGCTGCTGCCATATATGTATATATGTTAACCTTGTGAGCTGTATAACTTGGGGGGGAGTGGTGGCACAGAGGTTAGAGAATCCTGTGATCAGAATGTTGTTGGTCCAACTCCCTGGACCAACAACATCAAAATGTGGGGGGGAAAGGTGGAACACATACACCTGACTCCACCCTCATTTGCCCCAATGTGGGCCCTTGAGCAAGGCTCTTAACCCCAACTCTCTGCTTCCCTGGGTGCCCTAGTTAGCAGCTCTCTGCTCCACACAGATGACTGTGGTAGCTCAGTGGTCTGTGGTTGAGTCAGGAAGGACATCCGACAAAAAACATTTGCCAAGTGTTTGTGTGAGTTGGTTCGCTGTGGTGACCCCTGAAGAACGGAGCAGCCGAAAGAAGAAAAAAAAAAAAAGAGCTGTATAACTTGCCAACTTCCATTTTGGTGAGTGGCTTCATCTAGGTGTAAGAAAGGTCACTATCAACAATTTGATCTTCATGTCAAAATCCAAGATGGCTACCACCATTTAAATATGTAAACCGGCCACCCATATCATTTGAGGAAACAATGTTTTTAATTTGTTTATTGCTTATAAGTATAGTTCATCAAATGACTGGGGTGGCTGAAGATTAATCAGAGGTGGCCAAGGCCACCATTGGTCACCCCCTGGCTCCTCCATTGCACCTGGTGGTAGGTAAAAGTTTTCCCTCCACACTCCAGGGTCTGTCCCTCTGCTCTGCCTCAGATAAGGAAAAAAAACTCCCTCTGTTCTCCACAGTCTAACTCCTACCAACTTGAATATCTTTCACCAAAAACGTTTAGGTTTACTTAACATTCTCTGTTCAATTACAGTTCGGAAAAACACTCATCTATAAAACTACAAACCGGATTCCAAAAAAGTTGGGACACTAAACAAATTGTGAATAAAAACTGAATGCAATGATGTGGAGATGGCAAATGTCAATATTTTATTCGTAATATAACATAGATGACATATCAAAAGTTTAATCTGAGTAAATGTAACATTTTAAAGGAAAAATATGTTGATTCAAAATTTCACAGTGTCAACAAATCCCAAAAAAGTTGGGACAAGTAGCAATAAGTGGCTGGAAAAAGGAACTTGAGCATATAACGAACAGCTGGAAGACCAATTAACACTAATTAGGTCAATTGACAACATGATTGGGTATAAAAAGAGCTTCTCAGAGTGTCGGTGTCTCTCAGAAGCCAAGATGGTAAGAGGATCACCAGTTCCACCATTGTTGCGCAGAAAGATAGTGCAGCAATACCAGAATGGTGTTACCCAGCGTAAAATAGCAGACTTTTAAGTTATCATCATCAACCGTGCATAACATCATCAAAATATTCAGAGAATCTGGAACAATCGCTGTGCGTAAGGGTCAAGGCCGTAAAACTCTACTGGATGCTCGTGATCTTCGGGCCCTTAAACGTCACTGCACCTCAAACAGGAATGCCACTGTCAAGGAAATAACAGAATGGGCTCAGGAATACTTCCAGAAAGCATTGTCAGTGAACACAATCCACCGTACCATACGCCGTTGCCAGCTGAAACTCTACAGTGTAAAGAGGAAGCCATTTCTAAGCAAGCTCCACAAGCTCAGACGTTTGCACTGGGCCAGGGGTCATTTAAAATGGAGTGTGGCAAAATGGAAGACTGTTCTGTGGTCAGATGAGTCACGATTTGAAGTTCTTTATGGAACACTGGGACGCCGTGTCATCCGGACCAGAGAGGACAAGGATAGCCCAAGTTGTTATCAATGCTCCGTTCAGAAGTCTGCATCACTGATGGTATGGGGTTGCATGAGCGCTTGTGGCATGGGCAGCTTGCATGTCTGGAAAGGCACCATTAATGCAGAGAACTATGTTCAGGTTCTAGAACAACATATGCTCCCATCTAGACGTCATCTCTTTCAGGGAAGACCCTGCATTTTTCAACACAATAATGCCAGACCACATTCTGCAGCAATCACAACATCATGGCTATGTAGGAGAAGGATCTGGGTTCTGAAATGGCCAGCCTGCAGTCCAGATCTTTCACCTATAGAGAACATTTGACACATCATAAAGAGGAAGGTGCGACAAAGAAGGCCCAAGACGATTGAACAGTTAGAGGCCTGCATTAGACATGAATGGGAGAGCATTCCTATTTCTAAACTTGAGAAACTGGTCTCCTCTGTCCCCAGACGTCTGTTGAGTGTTGTAAGAAGAAGGAGGGATGCCACACAGTGGTAAAAATGCACTTATCCCAACTTTTTTTGGGATTTGTTGACGCCATGAAATTTGGAAACAACAGATTTTTCCCTTAAAATGATAAATTCTCTTTTTAAACTTTTGATCTGTGATTTGTGTTCTATTCTGAGTAAAATATTAGATGTTGGCACCTCCACATCATTGCATTCAGTTTTTATTCACAATTTGTTTAGTGTCCCAACTATTTTGGAATCCGGTTTGTACCAACATTCATTTTTCAAACCCCTCAGCAGTGAAGGACATCAGCGCATCACTTGTATAATTTAACTGAATCATCTGAAAGCATCAAATGCCATCAAACAGAAGTGGGTTTATAGTTTAAGCAGATCTGGTTCTGACAGAGTTCTTGTATGAGCACACAAACCTTGTATAAATGCGGATTTAGAGGAATAATTTTTTTGTAAGTGCAGTAAAAGCTTTTAAAGCAGAAATGAAATGAGAACTGAATAGACTTTGGGCAGGAAAAGGTTATGGTAATGAAGGGTTTCTGAGTTTGCATGAGTGCAGCTAATGATCACTTGCCAGCAGTTGGCCGAGACTGGCAACGACCTGCTGGCATTTATCTGTCACCGCTTCCAGAAATGTCTGCAATCAGCCTAGTGACTGCTGGGCTAAAGACGGCTCCTCTTTTATGTTTTGAATTGGAATATTTAAAGCAGCACAGTGGAGTATTTTTATGTAAAAATGTTGGAATGTTAGAAGTATCTGTCACATCTGTGTCTTCTTTTCACTGTTTTCTGTAAAAGCTTGGTTGATTTTGCTTAATGTAGCAGTGTTTGCATTGAATCACTGTACTTTTATTTTCCTGGAGCTGCTAACCAGAACAGTCGCATAGCTTTCTCATACTGTAAATGGTACCAAATGCTTCTGAATAGAAGAACTGCATCAGTGTGTTTTATCGTGACAATCACAGGGGTCTGCTTTCCACATGATAGGCCCATCTAATAGAAACATCACATTCTGAGTATTTTTGTCCCTCTTTGCAAAGCTAAAGGAGGAAACTGGAAATACCCAATAAATACTAGAGCCTGACCAATATGAAAATTTTGGCTATCGCCAATACCGATTGGGGGTGTGTGGGGGTGTGACGAGGATAATAATAATAATGATGTTGTACATTGTCATCACTGTATGTTTCTATACAATGGCAAAATTAGTCTCTGCATTTAACCCATCCACCCCCAGGTGGTGCAGTGGGCAGCTATTGAAAGCGCCTGGAGGACATTTTGGGGATGAGGTGTGCTGCCCAGAGACACCACAAGGTATGCAATGACCGGGGATCAAACTTGAGACTTTCAGGTCCCGAGCCGGCTGCCCTGCCTCTACACCATCTCTGCCCCCATAGGATGCCTGCAGCGCCAGCACAACGTGATGACGTACGCACCTACCTGATCTGATCATGGCAGAGAGGAAGAAGTCTAAATGTCAGCAGTGTGGAAGCTTTTTTTCGTTGAGGATATTGGATTCCGAAGATTTTTGGACTATGTAGAGCCTCGCAACATCGTCCCCAATCAGAGATATTTTTCCGACATAGCCTTACCCGAGTTACAAGCCATCATTTCCGACATCATTGAGAAGCTAATAGCTCTTGGGTGAGTTTTACCACAGACATTTGGACGTCAAGTGTTAGCTCCGTTAGCATTATTGGTCTTGCGGCACAATGGATAGACAAAATTTTAACTTAAAAAGGCTGTCCTTCTTGCACAAGAGTGTAGAGGATACCTAGGAACCCGGAACAAGCCTCCACAAGTGAGACAGCATTGCGGGTGACTAATGCGAATAAATAACATTTAACACTTTTCATTTAATATAAGTTAAAGTGCTATGCATATGGCTGTTACTAAATACATGCCATCAGCTCTTACAGCTGTTACATAATTTTTGTAGCAAATAAGCCTAAATAGGAGGGCTATGTTCTGACAAAGGAAAGTACATTAAAAAAATCTGTATCGGTTATAGGTCAAATAAGTTTGAACATATCAGCATATCAGACAGATATCGGCCAAAAATCCATCCATCCATCCATCCATTTTCTTTACCCGCTTATTCCATTTTTGGGTCACGGGGGTCGCTGGTGCCCATGTCCAGCAATCACTGTGCGAGGGGCAGGGTACACCCTGGACAGGTCGCAAGTCCATCACAGGGCCACATAGAGACAAACGACACAAACAACCATTCACTCTCTCACTCACACCTAGGGACAATTTAGAGATACCAATCAGCCTAACATGCATGTTTTTGGACTGTGGGAGGAAACCGGAGTACCCGGAGAAAACCCACGCATGCACGGAGAGAACATGCAAACTCCACCCAGAAAGGCCCCTGGACCGGGGTTTGAACCAGGGACCTGCTCGCTGAGAGGCAGCAGCTCTACCAGTTGCGCCACCGTGCTGCCTGGCCAAAAATCCAATATCGTGTATCCCTAGTATTGACCACAGCAGTGTGGTTTTTTTTTTTCTTTGCAGAGAAGTAAAGATTTCAGACAAACAATGCATTTCATTGAGGATGACAAAGACAACATGACTAACACTGGATGTCCTCACAAACTGGAAGCTCAGTCTGACAGGACTGGTTGCTATAACTACTGACAGCAGGGTTAATGTCATGAAGGTGTTGCAACTGAACACTAACATTAGCTTACTAACTTGAGAGGCACGTAGCTAATGACAAGCGGGTTAGAGGATTAAAGAGAATTTATTAATGCTGATGGGGTTTTTTTACATTACAGATCAGTTAAAATAAACTTACCATGCTCTGTATTCCTCGCTGCTTCATCTGTGTTTAATGTGAAAGTGAAACTTAAGTCAACGGCCACAACTTGAAAGTAGTCTTCATGCGCCCTCTGCTGGATACATTGTACAATTACAGCCGGTTTCCTGTGTTTTAGGGGTGAAAATTAGAAGTGTTTATATCAACAAATTAAGGGACCATTATCACCAATCCAATAGATCCCCAAACATCTATATCGGCCCAAACGATATATTGGTCGGGCTCTTAATAAGTACCCCATAATTTGCGGGGGGGGGGGGGGGGGGGTTGGAAGATAAGCGGAGTGCTATGTTTGAATTGCACGTAGTTTGGCCTCTGAGCTGAGCTGCTAATCTTCAGTCCCTGTCCAGGAGTGAAGGAGCTGCGTGGGGGATTGGGGATACCAGGCGTCATGTTTGGAGGAAACCAGGCACCGCTTATTACCCAGACCAACACACCATCCCTATAGTGAAACATGGTGGTGGCAACATCATGCTATAGGGATGTTTTTCAGCAGCAGGTACTGGTATACGAGTCAGGATAGAGGGAAAGATGAATGCAGCAATGTACAGAGGCATCCTGGATGAAAACCTGCTCCAGAGTAGGGCTTTAACGGACTATTCGACAGGTCGATTCCTAGGACATCTATCGAGTTTTTTAATTTCACGTCGAGTATTCGCAGTGACGTCATTGTGTCACGTGATCTGCACCAGGCTCCTAGTAGAAGCTAACAAATGGATTCCTCCAGATGGACTGAGTGGAGCAGGCCCAGTCTTGGCAAACGGGTAGAAATACATCAATAGTCTGGAAATATTTCAGTAAAGATGAATCTTCTGATTCAACTACCGTACAGAAACAGAAAATGAATAAACTTCCTGACTGTTTGGAGCTCGTTGCAAACTGGTGTTATACCATATTCTGTGACCACTGTATATTGTGACCGTAGGGGGCGGTGTTGCATGCACTGTTGCAGGTCACAGAATATGGTGTAACACCGGGTCCAATCGACCGAACCAGAACCAGCTTCCTCTGACCTTGTTTCACAAACTAAAAGCAAAAAAATATTAATCTCTAAACCTATAAAAAACCTATAAACATATTAATCTCTAAAACTAAACCTAATGCGCAACACAGTTGGCGGTGGGGCAGGGTGGTCATATGCCCCACTGGTTTTAGTTTTGTTTTTGACGTGTAGTACGTTATTTCTTTCACTTTTGCAGTTTAATAACAATAACTAATAGTTTTGTTTTTCCTGTGACTTATTTGCAGTACGATAAATGGTAGGAACATAATATATGCTCCCAAATTGGTCCTTTTTTTTTTTTGGTAAATAATAAATGACACTTTTTTGCGGTTTTATTTATTTATTTTTGTATCTTTAGATCCTATGATGTCATCAACTACTCGAGTTCTACTCAAGTTTTATTATGTTAATGTCGAGTTTAAAAATTATGTAGTCGTTCAACCCCTACTCCAGAGCGCTCCTGACCTCAGACTGGGGCGACGGTTCATGTTTCAGTAGGACAACAACCCAAAGCACATGCCTAAGATCTCAAAGGAGGGGCCTCAGGACCATTCTGTAAAGGTCCTGGATGGACCAGAGTCCAGACTTTAACCTTATTGAACATCTCTGGAGATATCTGAAAATTGATGCACAGACGTCTCCCATCCAACCTGATGGAGCTTGAGAAGTACTGCAAAGAAGAATGAGACAAACTATCTAAAGAGAGGTGTGCTCAGCTTCTAGCATCATATTCAAGAAGACTGGAGGCTGTAACTGCTGACAAAGGTGGATCAGTAAAGTATTAAACAAAGGCTGTGAATACTTGAGTAAATGTGATTTTTTAGTTTTCTATTTTTAATAATTTTGCATTTATCTCAATCTTTTTTTCCCATTAT